AACAAAAAAAAAAACTGTGTGTACAAACAACAACAACCATCATCGCCGACGGCACACATGAAACAATGAACTTGACGACGATCGTGTCGATATAATACACGTACACGCATGCGAACGATGCCCTATTGGCGTGATGTGTCCCCGATAAATATGAACAAATTCCAAATGGACGAACAAAAACCGACCACTAAACAATGCTCTGGATCTAAATCTAAATACGGGGATATTTGGACACGATAAACGTTTGGATCGATCGCATAAAATCTAAAAATAAAACTAAAAAGCAGACGGCGACAATGCCAACGAACGTGGCGGGAATGGGCGCGTTGACTGGCGGAGTATCAGGAGTTCCCGCGACTGCGGTTCCCGGAGGACTTCAGAGCGCCAGTATGGCGAGCATCGAACTCGGCAAGAAGCGGATGCGCGACTCCAATGATGACCTGCTAATGGTACCACGGCTTATGCATGGTGTACACTTTCCTTTTTTTCGTAGCTAGAACTTACGAAAATGGCCCCCCTTGTTTATTAGTCGCCCATTCTATCTTCCAGAAACGAACAGATCAATCGCGTCACGAACACTTCTCGAACGAGACCAAATCTCCGCAACTTTTCATCGCTTTCCGATTCTCACTTTTTCTCACTCCGCTTGGTTCACGATTATTATGTCACACGCGACAATTCGATGCTCTATGACTAAACGAGTTTATGAAAATGTTTATACGAATCGCTTAGTTTACGAAATGTTTCACTTTTACACCTCGGATGACTTAAATACTGGATGCAATGAATTATTTAAAATTGATTTATTTATTATTACGGGTGATAATGAAACAAATAGACCAATATACGGATAATAAAACAACGAAAGTACATCAATTAAGAGAGGTGCGCGCGGTATAGTAAATTTTCGATCGGATTACTCGAAATTGACAACTTCTTCAAGTCTGAGACATAGTTCGTTTCACGAATTTTCGAAATTTATTGTTTCAATCTATGGCGGATTCCTTGCATTTGTACAAATAATTTCTTAACGAACTAAACTCGCATATACTAAAAACTGATGATTTGTTTGTTCGAATCATAGAATGAAATGCTAGAATAGGTATTGTAATCAATTCGATCGTATCGCTTACACACAACAATTCATTAATTTTATGCAAAACTTATTTTCCGCGATCTTTTCGATTACTTAAATCTTCAAAAAATTGTTGATTTTCTACTAAAAAATTCGAACGTTTGCACGTTTTACTTCCTGTATGCCTCCAAGCGAACTTCCAAACGAATTTTTCCAAATTCCAGCTAAATATCATTATTACAAACAAAATTGTTCTCTTGTATGTTCGCTCATTAACGAAGATAAATGATCTGTTTACTCATCTCTAACGTAAAGAACAATTTCAAATAACATTTCTACAGCCTACTGAATATTTCAACGTGTACTTAAACATTCGAACGCCGACGAATGTCAGTGGACGTTAAATCAGATAATTTCCAAATTTTTATCTGTTCGCTAATTTATACTCAACATCCAGTAATATTGTTCGCATTAAATTCAGCCACGTAACGAATAGCCAGGAAAATATTTGAAAATCTTGAATTTCACCAAGAATAAGCATAATCCGAACGAGAAAAGGAATACCCGCGTAGTTTCGGGGGCCATTTTTCGGAAGTTCCTCGTAGCCCTATCTTTAAGTTACGAATACATGGTCATTGCGATTGTGAATACACTGCCGAGCGCGCTTGGAGCTCTAGCTCTTGTCTCTCATTTTTCTTTTGTTTCTAATAAGAGGCCCGCTGTGTATTTTTCTATTTAGCCTCGGAACAACTGTACACGGTCCTCGAGGAAATATTTTTCGCGTGTTCCGGTCACACGCTCCGTAGAATTCGAGCATCCGCGGTATTCGGCCCAGTACTTTTAATTACACCGCACATATTTTCCTCGAAACTCATTTATTTGATATTTTTTGTTCTGATTCTACGCTTATAACAGTCACATACGACACGCGTATTCCAACTACATGTCATTGGCTTTTCCGGTAAAGAAAGAAAATTTCGAAGATCTGTCTGTCTCTGTCAATGCGTTCTTCTCAATTTTCGTTCTCGAACGTTTCTTCTTGATTTCGCTTCGTACTGTCGTTCATTGCAATGTTGTTTGTATAAGAGCTTACGCCTCGTAATGTATTTATAGATCGGTTATTATTGGTTTCTCGATCACCAGCCACGAATTAGCCCATTAGATCGCAAGCAACGGAATTACCTGTTTCAACCAAGTGGACAAATATTCGTGGTTGCTGATGCCTAGTATAATATTTTTGAACCGTTTGAGCACCACGCAGCGCGGCCGCGTCGCTATCACTCAGTTTCAATTTCGACGAATATCGATTGCTCTACCGTTATTGTAACTTTTGTTTTCGCAACCTTTCGAAGAACTTTCTTTTCGCGGGATATTATACTAAACGGCCATGCACGTGATCAACTTCGCCTCTATTTATCTTCGCTTGCAAATACTTCCACTCCGTCGGTACTCCGCACCGATTTCTTTAAGGACTCGTGGCACTCAAACGATTATTGTAAACTCACTCCATGGTAAATTCTCTGCCGACACCAAGAAGAGCTCGTGATCGATCAAAGATCCATCGATTCGCTGGTACACGATCGATGGCTACGCTCAACGATTTAAGCCACGCGCGCATTTCTGTGAAATTCGAGACACGCTAAAACTTGAATCAATTATTGTGGAATATACAGGGTCGTCCACTTAAGTAGAGCCACATAAATGTCTCGTCGAACGGTGACGATGCAAAAGATATTTTTTACGCAATGCGAGTAGTGCCAGAGTGTCATTGCACGTCGAAAACATTATTTTTTCAAGGGTCGCTTTTTGGAAATTTTTGAAATTGTCGATATTTGCTGCGCGTGCAACGTTTATTATGCAATAAAAGAAATAACGATCTAACCGATCAAAAAATACGTTCAGACATGTGTGATAGCAATGACCGTGAAATTACCTTAATCTCCGGGAGCTATAGTTTTATCTGAAATTGATGTCCGAAGCTTTGACCGAAATGCGGCAATCGACATCTCGTGACAATAAATAAATATGAACATTTACGATCGGAATACAGATGACGCCTTGATGCACCGTTCGCAACGAATTGCTCAACGAAAGAAAAGATCGATATGATATTCATTTACAGCAAACGGGATCGATGTTCGAAGGAAAACAATTCGGATACACGTGTAGAAAAATGGTGAAAAAAATTGATGAGAATTGAGAATCGTGTAAGAACCAAAACTATCGGGAACGAAAGATATAAAGGAATTATCGTCGATAGGGTTAACGAAAATTCACACGCGAGTTTAAGACAATTTGAACATGAAAATTGCATTCCAAAAACAAACATAAAATATGGGATATTCGAAGAATATAATAGATTTCACCATCATCTATCGCCAGTGCGCTTTACAGCAATAACAAAATGACGAATGATTCTTCTAAAACAATGTTATTTGCTGACGATTCATTGAATATGGTCAGCGGAACGTGAGAGACGCGCATTACAGGTCAATTTGGTTTAATAACTATATAAATTGGTTATTCCGTATTCCACGAGTGGTACCCTAAAGAAGAAAAGCGTGCAAAAAATAGCTACAAATGCTCACATTATATCAATGAGTTAGACTCGAGATTAAGATTTCATGTGGATGATCTATTAAATGCGGATATTACTCATTTCTTGTAAATCGAAACAAAATATTTGCAAAGCAAGTATTCTTGTTGTACATTGACCCTTTGACACTGTTCATGAAAGTGTCAACAGAAAAACTATATTTTGCATTACTACAATTCGACGGGACATTTAATTGGCCTTACTTAAATCGATCACCCTGTACATATATATTTTGTTCGTCAGCAGCTCAAAAACTATGCAGATTAATTCAGTAACATTTGTTTTGAGATCAATTTGCTCGTTATTTGTGATAATAATCACGCGTTTTTCCACTTACTCAATTTCTCTTTTTACAATCGGGCATGATGGGACTGTGCAAGTTTCGATTTGTATAGCATATAGCAATTTTACGATCTCACACATCGAACAGTCACAATTCTCTGATTGTCGCTTCTTTATTGGAACCTCGTTGCATTTAAAGTTCTCCAAAATTTACGATCACTTGCCGATCGCTAAAGAATTTAATAGTCGTGCGCGCGTGCTTCGCTACGAGCAGTGGGGACGAAAAAGTCGACTCTAATCGCTGAACATGAAGAGCAGTCTGTGAGAGAGACAAACATAACCGAAAGAATCGATCGATAAGACAGAGTCACACGAGTATTATTGAAAATGATTGAGACAAGACATTGGTACTGCATTTACGGTGCGATAGATCTGTGTAAACTCCGAGCTTGCGCCGATGATGCATGTTGTGCTTAAGCGACTACCGAGGTGATGGTGTAATATGTCATCCCCTTGACGCTCTGGACGATGACCCGAAAGTTTTGTCTCTTTTCTATGGTACCAGCGATCTACGGTACTCCCGCGATGTTTTTTCATTCGGCTTTCTCCGGGGTTCTAATTATTTTTCGTCTCGTTTCCTTTGTTTGCGAAATGAACTCTATGTGTATGTTGGTTTCAAAGACACGTCGGAACTGCTAAGAGCACAAGTAGACCGCTTACACACAAACACGTACATACCCATACGCACACACAGACAAAGACACACACGTCACCGGTATTTCGTGTTAAATCTAGTTTCTCCCCCTTTTCTTTCCTCGACTTCTTTCATCGTCTTTGCTTTCTTACGTGGACCACGTGTTCCGTTACTTTTTTTCTCCGTTTTCTGTCCATCGACAGCTTGAAGACTTTAGTCGAACTTTCACGGTATCGTCGAGTTTTGAGTCGGCGCAAGATTCTTGTCCTACATTTTCCCATGATGTATCGAACGGTTGAAACGGTCCAAATAGCGAACATAATTTTCGTATTAAGCTATGTTTGAATGTAGTAGTCGTTATTGTGAAAAAGTATTATCATAAAAGTATTTCTTTACAGTACTACCACCTTAGGATACGTTTCGGTTATTATTTGTCAACAGTCCAAGAGATACATGTCGTTTTAATACTTTGTTATTTTACACAATTCAGTCGTGTTCCTGTGATTTCTTCTGAAATGAAAATTGCCTTTGATATAGAAAACGTATATTTTCATACACTGCTCGAACATTTCAACGATATCATTATAAAGTTCTAATCGAATTGTCGAAAATAATAGCTTTTCTCGGAACTGGTTGATACTATTACAAGGAAAGAAATTCATGTAATTTTTATATAAAAAATCACGCAGTTTTCATACTAAACTCGATTAAATTTGGATTTGACAATTTGTCATTTGGTCAACTATAATTCAATTATAACCGAGAAAAAAGGAAATTCAACCGTAACAGAACAATTTTTCAATAAAAACCTTCATTTTTTCCTGTATTATTAATATAATAATTCTAATACCTTGTTCTGCGGAATTGCTATTAGCATACAATTGTTGCAAACAGTTCACGAAAATTCAATCATAGTTTCATACGAAAATATTCTACCGTGGTTTTATTTACGTTCTACACTATAACCAGATTATCTGAAGACAGTTGAATATTTCGTGAGGATATGAAGTTATAAAGAAATCATTTCTACAAAAGTTTCTTTATCTGCAAAGGATATTACATAGCGTATATCGCTTTCCTCATTGTCTCTGGAAACAAGCTCAACGAGATACTATATCAAATATATATCTTCAATAGAACGTTCTATATTAATGTATCCACAAACAGCTGAATAATCGAGTGTGACTTGATACTCTACGCAATTAAACTCTCCTCCATTTGGAATATTATGCTACAGCAGTGGCCACTCGATAAGTATCCGTCACGTTTAGGAATATTTCAAATATTGTCTTATTAAAATGCATCGGTGTTTTATTAAAATATTATGGACGTAATATTTTTGCCGTTGCATGCTGACAAAAGGCAAAACAAATCAGCAATAATGATTTGGTAAATGGACGATTTCCGAAGATTTCAAATGATCTTAAAAATTAATCTGAAGATTTCCGAAGATAGAGAATATGAGACTATATCCATGCAGCCAGAGTCGCTGCATGTATACTTATAACTTCTTTGTGTCGAGATAGTAACAGTTCGAAATTAATGAAATTACTACCGCAGTAGTGCGTGCAGAGGGTCTTGGCATCATGGAAGCGAAATTTGCAATTTGTAACCATTAATATCTTGGAGACGAAGTTTTTACACGATATGTAAATGTATATGCATATTTTGCCCAGCCTTTTATTTTTAGGAAAGAAGAATTTTTAAGAGCGAGAACAGCGTGCATACAATTGACCATTCGATAACTACTGCTTGCCTTCAAGAGCCTCTAGAGCCCTAAACACGAATGGTTATCGAGTGACCGCTATATTATGCCGTACTGTTAAAAAAATTCTGCCCCCCCCCCCCCCCCCCCCTTACC